AACTTAGCACAGGAGTAAGATACAACAGTACCACTGGGGTTTCAGCTATCTAAATATCTTCTAAAACCTTAGTCTACTAAAACCAGAGTATCACTAACTTCTTCTAGCAATTTCTTTAAAAAATTTTTTAAAAAGAAGTAGTAATAGCTCCTTAGAACTACATTCTGATCAAATAGGAAGGACTGGTAAGTGAAGGAGAAATGATGGATCACTGAGAGAAGGTCACCAGGTGGCTTTGGAATTTGGGATGGGCAATGAAGGAACACGGGACAAAGTCAGACGTGGATCTTGAAAAAGGTTACTCAGAATGACAATCCAACCTGATGTTAACAAACGAAGAGAGAGGACGGCAACCAAAGAAATCACAGTGGCTGCAGAGGGAACTTGTGTGTTCCAGTTTTAAATATACAAATGACAGGAGGAGGAGCAAATAACCAAGGATGAATACAAAAGTCTTGCACAGACATTTTAAAGTGTAGTGTCAGGAAAGCTAAAGTAAAAAACTAAGACCATTGAAAAGGATTTTAAAGATATAGTTAGGGATAGAAGAAAAATAGAGAAAAGTTAGAAACATGTCTTAGAGCAGATGGCTTAATATGAACTGAAAGCAGATTACTTATCTCCTCTGTCAAAAAGAATGCTCTTCAAACCAGAAAGACAAAACAGACCTCATGAGTGCAAGCCTTCGAATGTGACCACAGAAATTATGTCAGTAATAGCTGAGGAGTTTAAAAATCAGAAGATGTGGCACCATAAAACTTTCCTGTATCCAAAAGGAAACAAGTAGACTCTGGCAAATTTATGATTTATGAGCTGATGCAATCTCTGGAAAATTGTAGGATGAAATATTACACAGAAGCTTGATAAGTACTTGCAAAAGGAACTAGTGATTACTGAGCAGTAACAGAGTTTCACTATGAACTAATCTCATATCTTTTATTGGTCAGTCTACTAGGAGACATTAGGGATAACAGAGACACAATAGCAAGATATTTACCAAATATTTAATGACGTCTTGTTGGACTGCATTTTTGTACAGTCAGATAGATTTAAATGTCTGTTACTGATAAAAGAACTGCAACTAAATGTGTGAATTAATAAAGGGAATGTCAAATTAAATAGGGGTTCCAGGTGTTGGTGTTGGGTTGTTCTAGTCTATTTTCTTTCCATGGTTTAGAACTCACGACTGTGAAAGCAGAGGATGATATGATGCTGGAAAGGAGAGTAAATACTTTGAAAAGGTATTTAAGAGAATTGTCTCATTGACAGGATGAAACAATGAGATTAAATAAACAACAAAAAACTTTTTTGGTACAAATGTAAAGTTCTGTCCTCAGGATTTTATTTTATTTTTTTATTTTTTGTCTTTTTCCGTGTCC